ACTCAGGAGGCTGAGGCAGGAGAATTGCCTGAACCCAGGAGGCGGAGGTTGCGGTGAGCCGAGATCGCGCCATTGCACTCCAGCCTGGGTAACGAGCGAAACTCCGTCTCCAAAAAAAAAAAAGAGATCCCCCTGCCTCAACCTCCCAAAATTCTGGGATTACAGGCAAGAGCTGCTATGCCCAGCCTTTTGTGATCTTTGTAAATCTCTTTAGTTCCCACTCTTTAGCTGCTGGGCCCTGCTCTTCCTGCTTTGGAGCCGGTCCTTCAGCAGGGAGCCAGTGTTATATGGTTGGGGTCTCTGCCAACAGCTGGTTCCCACCCTGTCTTGCAGGTGGCCTTGGGAGGGATGGGTAGCAGCCCAGGTCCAACCCACTCCTTACTGGAGTGTCTCGCAGACTGAGGGGACTCTGGCCTTCCAGGCCCTGCCTACCCCAGAGCTTCCATCGCCTCTGATTCTTAGTAATTGGGAGCCGACGGATGCAACTTATCTTCGTTCACACTGAGTGAGACACGCCGCTGTGGGCACAGCCAAGTCTGCTGGACTGAGTCAGGCATGAGCCTGGATGGCCCCGGACAAGGAGGCCAGTCCAACCCTTTCGCTGGGAAATTTCCGTTACACTCAGGCCACCTCCCCCACTTCCTAACTGTTGAGTCTTTGGCTCGGGGCCTTTTAAGCCCAGCGTGATCCCTCTGAGGCCCTGCGGTGCATTTGTGCCATCTCCATGCACCCTGCTGAGCCCCAGCCCAGGCTTGCTGCAGGCAGCGCTGCCCCCCACCCTCCTGGTGGCCTCCCGGGAACCTCCACCCGCTTCCCCATTAGGCGTGGCTGTTTCCACCCCCAGTGTCCACCCGGCCCCTTTCTCGATCCCACCTGAGGCACCCAGCCAAACCAAAGTCCAGGGGACACTTCTGGTCAGAGCCACTGCCTCTGGCCAGCTGCTCACTCCCCAGCCCAGATCTTCCGCTGATGACCTCTGGGGTCAGCGGCCAGCCCAGAGTCTACAGAACATCCTCCTCCAATTGGCCAATCTAGACAGATATGGAGCCCGCCTGCCTACCATGGGTTACGGCCCAATAAACCCACGGCCAAGCTGAAAGTCCTAAGTGCGTGTCTTGCGCCTCTGACACAGCTAGGGCATCACTGGACGCACTGAGGCAGAGCTAGATGCATTCTGGTCCTTGATGGGGTCCAGGGACCATGAGTTGTCTTTCCAGTGCCCCTCACCCTTTGCCCTGGTCACCTAAGCTGGAACGGCACGTTCTTCATCCCTGTGGCCCAGTCCTAAAGCAACCTTGGGGACTTAAATTGCACTCTGCCCAGCAGGTGCACCTGGGCCAGAAACACACCAGCACCTCCTGTTCTTTGCAGGCAAGTGGAATCCAAGCAGGGGCCCAGATGCAGGCCGGCATCTCCTGGGAACTGGAGCCCCAGGACCCATCCCGGGGCCCCACTTCCTGGGTGGTTGCCTGGGGCATCTGGTCAGAGCTGACCAGGTGCTCCCGTGCGTCTGTGTGTGGGAAGGCAGAGGCAAGTCCTTTCTAACCGCCTTTTGCCCCTAGTTTTCATTCAGTCTGGTCCCAAGCTGGTTTTCCTTTTTTTTTTTTTTTTCTTTGAGACGGAGTCTTGCTCTGTCGCCCAGGCTGGAGTGCTATGGCGCGATCTCAGCTCACTGCAACCTCCGCCTCCTGGGTTCAAGCGATTCTCCTGCCTCAGCCTCCGAGTAGCTGCGATTAGAGGGTTGAGCCAACCGCGCCGGCTCCCCAAGCCGGTTTTCTGTTCTCTTGCAGCTGGGCAGGGGTTGCAGACGCAGGGCCCACGCGGCGCAAACATGGCCCCCGCGCGGGGACTCTGGATCCAGCGCCTGCGCAGCGGGGTGGCCACGGGGTGCAGGTTCAGGGCAGCGGCCGGGCCTCCTGGGGATTGGCACGGCGCCCGCCGCGGTCCAGTGAGCCTGGGGCCGGTCCCCGGGCGGTGGCCCTCGGCGCCGCGCTCAGGCCTGGGGAGGGAGAGACACCAGAGTCCCGGGTAAGGGGGGCGGCCTTGGAGCACCCGCGCGTCCCCCAGTCGGGCCCACCGCGCTCGGCGCCCCTGCGCGGCCGCTTTAAGGTACCGGGCCCACCTCCGGCGCCGGGGGCGTGGCCTAGCGGTCCCGCCCCCGGGGCGCGCGCGCGCATTGGCTGTGCGGGGTGTGGGCGCGCGGGCGGCGCTTTGAACCGGGCGCGGGGCGCTGCGGGCCGGTCCGAGTCGGGGTCGTGCCCGGGTCGGGCTGCAGTCGGGCTGGAGTTGGGCTCCTCTGGGCCATGGCGGCCGAGGCGCGCGTGTCGCGCTGGTACTTCGGGGGACTTGCCTCCTGCGGGGCCGCCTGCTGCACGCACCCGCTGGACCTGCTCAAGGTGAGGCCGGGGCGCGGGGGGCGCGGGGGGCGCGGGGCGCGTGGGGCGCGGGGCGCACGGGACTCTGGCGCCGCAGAGGCGCCTGCAACCGCAGCAGTCCGGCCCACGCGCACGGGGATCGCTGCGCCCGGGGGCTCCGCCGGGAGAGCGCGAGGCGGCGTCCGACGCGCTGGTGACCGAGCCAGGGTGGCGGATCCCGGGTGGCCCTCGGCTGGTGGCCGCGGAGCTCGAGGCCTTAGGGGCGCAGCCGCGCTCCCCGGGTTCCCAGCCGGCTTCCCAGTTCTCGGCAGGTGGCATTCCAGCCCCAGCTCTGCACTTTAATACCTGGTGACCTTGGGCGAGTCACTTGGCTTCTCTGAGCCAGCCACCCCCATACATTCAAGGACACGGCTTCCTCCTGGTTGAAAGTTATGGTGGGGAGTTCTGTGAGGTGCACAGGTGTTGGCACCTGGAGACTGTGCTGGCACACCCAGGGCGTGGGCCAAGCCGCCATCCCCCCAGGGGTGCTTAGCATGCTTCCGGACGTGGTCCTGGGCAAGTGGGGTGACCCGGTGCCCCTCATTTCGGCCGCGTCCTACAGAGAGCCGGGCGGGGACTGGAGGTGATGTTAGGACCAGCACACCCCCGGGAGACCCTGCACGCGTGTGGTCCTGGCCCTATGAGATTAGGTATTTCTCAGCACGAGAAGCAGCCACCGTTTTTCCTTAAAAAAAAAAAAAAAGCTTATGGGGCAAAAGAAGACACAGCTGGCCTTGTTTCCCAGGGACAGCCAAGGGGCATTGTTTTCTGACCCTGCCTTGCCACAGAGAACAAAGAAGAAAGGGCCTGAGGCTTTGCACAGTCTGCCCAGTGGGCCGTGCCCTGTGCACCCGGCTGTGGTCGCTGGGCAGCTGCCTGTCTCGGGGACTTTTATTTTAGCAGGCTGCCCAGGGGACCTGTATTTCGGCAGCCTTTGAGTGGATTGGCTTTACTAATGAGTAAAAATGCTGGCCACTGCGTGAAGGCCAAGTGAGCAGATGTGGGCGTTTGGGGGCACCTGAGACCTAGATTGTCCTGGGAGAGGCCTGCACAGCTCCCAGGCCACAGGCAGCCAGGGCCAGGGAGATGCGGTCACAGGACAGGAAGGCGCTGGCATGGCCAGGAGGAGCCCCTTCTTGGCATCTGGCTCTTCCTTTCCTCCTGGGTGCCACATAGGTGCCGCCCCAGGGCCTCTCCTACAGGCCCCCTGGGTGTCAAAGGCTGCCCCCGCCTGCCTGACCACTGTCCAAGGCCCCTCTGGGCGTCACTGCCCCTTGGCCCCACCCCACCAGGTGTTCTTTGGCTGCAGAACACTGCAAGGGGAGGCAGGGAAGGCTTTCCGGTGGAGGCGGGACTGCCCTCTGGCCTGTGAGGGCGGGAGAAGCTGCTGCTGACAGCAGATGGGGCTGTGGGCAGGGCGCGTCCCTGAGGACTGCTCGCCAGGGCTCTCTGCCTGGCCGTTAAAAAAATCGTAAAGCTTCTTGATCACTTTGTCCCATGTCCCTACTGTCGGTTCTGGCCTGGACAGGGGCTGCTGCCTGTGTGGGCGCCGGGTCCTCAGGCCCAGCCCCTCCGTTGTGCCAGGTCGCACAATGGGAGGCCCCTCTCTGTCCCCGCCCATCTTTGCCACCCCCTGGGCATGCATGACAGGGGCCATGTGTGTGGAGGTCACACTGAGTGGTGGACGAGCTTCTTTGGGGTCAATGCTGGGGGTGGGACCCAGGAGCTGGGATCCTGGGCCAGGTGCTGGCCTTCCTGTCTGGCCCTGGCCCACCCCTCTTCTGCCTGGAGCTCTCAGCTGGCCAGGCTGGGAGGCAGAGGTTTTGTGAGTGGTGGAGGCCAGGGAACGGGGAGGTTGTGGAGCTGACAGTCCCTGCGTGCCTGCCCACAGCTTCTAGGTGCTTTGTGGAGGAGGCCACTGTGCCCTGTGCCAGCCAAACTGTCCCTCGCCCGCTGCTGAACTCCTGCCGCCTTTCAAGGCCTTCTCTGGCCACCTCCTCAGTCTCCTACGATCCTGCAGGCTCCCTCGCCATTTCTGAGCCCCCGGAAATGTCTGTCTCTCTTGAGATGTGGTGTGGTGGGTAAAAAGTAGGGCTCTAGAGTCTCCTCGCTGGCCCAAATCCTGATGGCACCAGCGGGTGTGTGACCTCTCCGTGCCTCAGTTTCTTCATCTGCAGAAGGAGAATGGCAAGCCCCTGTGGCCAGTGCAGCAAGGACTCAGGTGGTGCGTGGGGCATGCGTGGGGCACTCGGGGCTCGCGGGCTCTCTCAGCTCAGTGTCCACTGCTGTGGTTGCTGCTGGAAAGCAATGGTGTGAGCTGGTTCCAGGCACGGGTGTGGAGTCCCCGGGCAGGGCCTGTGGGAGGCCTTTTCACTGCCCCCCTGCCTCAGTTTCCCCCCTCCAGATGGACCCGGCACTGATCCCTCAGGGTCACTGTGGGGTCTGAGAGCACTCACTCCTGCAGGTGCATCTGCAGACGCAGCAGGAGGTGAAGCTGCGCATGACGGGCATGGCGCTGCGGGTGGTGCGTGGCGACGGCGTCCTGGCGCTCTACAACGGCCTGAGTGCCTCGCTGTGCCGACAGGTGCGTGGAGGGTGCCAGCCTCGGGCTTCCACATCCCCTCAGGGCTCCCAGACTGGGGCCCAGTCCCACAGTGGGCATCAGAGCTACGTCCATCCCCTTTCCAAGACTTTCTGCAAGGACAGACCCACAGGGCCCAGAGAGCTGGTGACCCGGGGGGTGGACCTTCCACAGACATCAGCCCAGTTCTCAGGGCTGGGCCTGAGACTGCCACTTGCCATTGGGGAAACTGAGGCCCAGTGAGGGAGAGAGCAGGGTGCAGCTCTAGATTTGTGAACTGGCTCAGCCGCATGCTGACCCGTTGGGCTGAGGGGGTCCCTGGCTGGGCCACGGTGGTGAGGCTGCGGGGTGTGGGGCGTGCCTGCCCCTCCAAGCCGGGCCCTTCTCCCCAGATGACCTACTCCCTGACTCGGTTTGCCATCTACGAGACTGTGCGGGACCGGGTGGCCAAGGGCTGCCAGGGGCCCCTTCCCTTCCACCAGAAGGTGCTGCTGGGCTCCATCAGCGGTGAGCTGCTGGGCGGGCAGGGTGAGGGGTGGCTGGGGGCTGTGGTCACCGAGTGTCATCACTGGCTGTCTCTGGGGTTTGTGTCACTGCAGGTTTGGCTGGAGGCTTCGTGGGGACTCCTGCGGACTTGGTCAACGTCAGGTTGGTGTCCCCCTACCCCACCTGCAAGGCCAGGGGCTTTTTTGTCCTCAGACAGACCAGGGCGTGCCGGGGTCACTGGCAGGGTGGGGTCAGCCTGGAACAAGCCACTCGGACCCTGGTGTCCTGGGCATAGGAGGGCAGGTGTCCGAGCCCTGGCGCACCCCATCCTGGCGGCCCTGCTGACCAGCGTGAGCTTCCCGGGTGCCCGTGGGGCTCTGCCAGGGCTGCCCATGCCCCGAGGCCCGCCTGCCTCTCCCGCTGCCTGCTTCTGTTTCAGGATGCAAAACGACATGAAGCTGCCCCAGGCCCAGCGGCGCAAGTGAGTCACGGGCAGCCCTGCCTTCTCAGGGTGGTTGGGGTGCAGGAGGCTCATGCTGGAGTGGACCCCCAGCCGCCCTGCCATGACCTAGTGAGGACTCCAGCGGGCCTCGGCGCCTGTGTGGTCCACGGAGGGGTCCTGACAGCTGTTCTGGACTTGGGGGTGTCACTCTGCCCCGTAGGACCTGTGGGTTCTTCCTGTAGGGAGAGGCTTGTTGGACTGGGGGCTGGGCCTGTTTGTACCCCAGGGGGGTGAATGCAGAGGTGGAGGCCCCAGGTGTGGAGAGACCACACTTGACAGAAACGCCCGAAGGAGGTATTTGCTCCCTGCCCAGCACAGGGCAGCTGTGCCCTCCTGCCTCGGCCTGGGGTCTGCCCCAACTGCAGCATGAGCTGTTTTCCCCGCCCCTTCCGAGGACCCCTGGGGAAGAGTTTCTGGCTTCTGGCTGTGCACGCAGACTGTCCCCCCAGGATCTCGGGAGGCTGGCAAGCAGCAGCCTGCATGCTAAGAGCAGTGCCCAGCCGGGGACTCTGCTGGAGAAGATGGACCCTCCCCACGAGGGCAGGCGGTGCTGGCGGGGTGGCTGTGGGATGGCAGGACCAGCCTCAAATGTTCCCACGGAGGGATCCTCGGGCCCATGAGGCTTCTGCTTCCTCGAGAACCGCCCGGCCTGCAATGGGGCCCAGGAGGCCCCAGGTGGTCAGGCGGAGCCTCATGTGGCCATTCCGTGTCCCTGGCAGCTATGCCCACGCACTGGATGGCTTGTACCGTGTGGCTCGTGAAGGTGAGGGCCAGGCGCTGTGCGCAGGTGGGGGCGGGGCTGGGCACCAGGGGATTTGGACAGGGCACCTGGCCTCACCCCTGGCCTCACGCCTTCCTCGTGCAGAGGGTCTGAGGAGGCTGTTCTCGGGTGCGACCATGGCATCCAGCCGAGGGGCCTTAGTCACCATGGGACAGGTAGGTCTCATGTGTAGGGTGAGCATGGGCAGCACCTGCAGCCTCCGACCTCCATTTTCAGAGGGGTCATAGAATAAGGCAGTGGGCGCCGATACCCTCCTGGGGAGTCACCAGCTGTGCCCTTAGTAGGGTGGGCTCTGGGGCATGGGAGGGTCAGGGCCGCAGCCACGAAGGGCCTCGGCAGGTCCCTGTCTGGGCCTCATGGACTTGGCCATCGTCAGGTGGTGTTGCTTGGGGCCCTGCATGCTTTCCCTGAGCTGGGGACCGCCCCACAGCCCTGACCGTCCCTGTGTCCCTGCAGCTCTCCTGCTATGACCAGGCCAAGCAGCTGGTCCTCAGCACCGGGTACCTGGCCGACAACATCTTCACTCACTTTGTCGCCAGCTTCATTGCGGTAAGTAAGTGGCAGGAATGGCTGGGGTGGGCGTCCCTGGGCCAGCCTTGGGAGCTGAGGGCACCCGGGCTAGGGTGAAGGCTGTGGGAGGTGGGGGGCCTCGGGCATCTGGCAGTGCCTCCTGGGGCTCACAAGTGGGCGCTGGGGCTTTGGGAGCTTGTGGGTCGGCCTGGTGCCCTTACCAGCATGTTACTGGCCTGCCCGGGAATCGGGTCAAGGGGCTCTTTCGGGACTGGCCTGTGGGTGGGATTCAGCGATGGTGCCAAGGGTACCCGATGGGCCACTGGTGATGAGCCCCCTCCCCAGGGTGGATGTGCCACATTCCTGTGTCAGCCCCTGGACGTGCTGAAGACCCGCCTGATGAACGCCAAGGGGGAGTATCAGGTGCGTGGGGTCCCACCTGTGCCCTCGGGCTGCCCAGCCCAGCAAGTTCCCTCACCTCTTCGAGGCGTGGACACTTGCCCTGGGGACCTGGGGAAGGATGCCTCCACCATGGCCTCCCTTCCAGCTGCCCATCTCTGCACAGCCCTTGGCCTTGGGAGAGGGATCATGGCTTTGAGTACCTTTGCCTTGTTTTTGTTTTAAATAACCTGTCTTGGTCTGGTGCAGTCCCCGTGCCTGTAACCCCAGCACTTTGGGAGCCTGAGGCAGGCAGGTCTCGAGTCCAGGAGTTCAAGACCAGCCTCGGCAATGTACTGACCAGAAGTCAAAAATTACGTTTGGTGGCGTGCTCCTGTAATCCCAGCCTCTTGGCTGGCTGAGGGTTCAGGTACACAGGCGGCTGAGATAGGAGAATCCCGTGGGCCCAGGAGGTCCAGGCCACTGTGAGCTGAGATTGTACCCCTGCATTCTAGCCTGGGTGACAGAGTGTTTTTTAAACAAAAGTTTTTTTTGTTTTTTTTTTTTTTTTTTTGAGACAGAGTCTCGTTCTGTTGCCCAGGCTGAAGTGGTGGGGCAGTCTCAGCTCACTGCAACCCCTCCCTCCCGGGTTCAAGTGATTCTCATGCCTCAGCCACCCAAGAAGCTGGAATTACAAAAATTAGCCGAGCGTGGTGGCACACGCCTGTATTTTTAGAGGCAGGATTTCGCCACGTTGGCCTGGCTGGTCTCGAACCCTTGGTCTGAAGTGATCCGCCCACCTCAGCCTCCCAAAGGGCTGGGATTACAGGCGTGAGCCCCCGTGCAGCCAGAGCATTTCCTGAGCAGATAAACAGGTGGTGCTGCTCACGGCAGCTGGTGCCACATAAGTGCTCCGGCCTCCTGCCTCGGGCTCCCGCCAGCTCCATGGCGCGTCCAGGTTTGCAGGGCCCGAGCCCGTTTCGCGCTCTCCTCCCTGACCCTGCCGTGCAGCATCCGTGGTTCTCACGGTTCTGTTCACACGGCCCCCTCTACCCCCGGGCCCTGGTTTTCCCGTATCAGCAGGCAGGGCAGCCCCTGACCTGGCCAGGGCCCGCAGGCCTGTGGTCACCCGACACCAGCCAGCAGCCGCAGCTCACACCCACCCCACACCCCGTGTTCAGAGGGCACAGGCCGGGTGCCTGGGAGGGGATTTTCCTGGCGTTTTGGGTGAGAAGCAGCCTTGTTTATTGTTTCACTGCATTTTCTGCAGGGCGTTTTCCACTGTGCTGTGGAGACAGCGAAACTCGGGCCCCTGGCCTTTTACAAGGTGCGGTGGGGGTGGGGTGGGGTGGGGGTGGGGTGGGGGTAGGGTGGGGGTGGGGTCGGGGTGGGGGTGGGGGTGGCTCGGGCAGCGGGAACGGGTCCCTCCGGGCTCTGCGCCTCTCATTCCCCGTCCCCTTCCAGGGCCTTGTCCCCGCTGGCATCCGCCTCGTGCCCCACACCGTGCTCACCTTTGTGTCTCCTTCCAGGGCCTTGTCCCCGCTGGCATCCGCCTCGTGCCCCACACCGTGCTCACCTTTGTGTTTCTGGAACAGCTTCGCAAAAACTTTGGCATCAAAGTTCCATCCTGACCGGCCGTGGGAATGGCTGGGCCACCAGGCCAGCAGAGCTAGACCCTTCCAAAGAGTCCCCAAGTGTCAGCACCAATCCCAGTGCCTGCTCCTGGGGCCACGGCCTCCCTGCAGCCCCTGCTGTGTCCCCCCACCCCAAGCTTGCTGGCTCCTCCTGGCCCCGTCCCCTCCCTGCTCGGGCTCCCAGGCTCCCCAGGCTTGGCGCTGGGTGGCCTTGCCCCTCTCCCGCTGGCAGCCCCTCAGGGCAATGGAGGCCACCAGAGGCTGGTTTCCTCCCCGCTCCTGGGCTGGGGGAGGGGTGTTATTCCTGCCTCCTGCCCTGAGGCCCAAAGCAGCATCTTCCAGGACGGTCCATGGAGGACTTGGTGGTGGGGTGTGGCGCGCCCTGGTGGTCGCTCCCCGAAGTGCAAGCCACGCACTGTGAATCCGCTGAGAGGGGCCAGACCTTCCAGCTGCAACTCCAGGACCCCTCTGCTGGGTCCCACCCACGAACAAACAACGCAGACCACGAGCAAGTGCCTGGAGGGAGGGGTCCAGAGTGGTTCTGGAGCCATCGCCAGAGAGGGTCGAGGGCCACCAAGGTCCACCCCCATCCGCCCCGCAGTGGCTTTAACAGTTTTGCCAAAGCCTCTCGCTCCCCAGCAGGCGGGTGCCTGCATCCCTCGGGCCCTACGCCCCCCGCTTGGCTCCCTGGGGGAATGGCCCAGCCGGGCTGCGGTCCCTCAGGGCCTTCTCCTGGACGTGGAGTCCAGCGGGGTGGCTGCGGCCTCCTCTGCCCTCCTGGTCGCTGGGCTCCACCCGCCTGGGAAGGGCACCTGCTCTGTGGGGGCTGCAATCAATAAATGCGGCGAGCTGCTGCGTCTGTTCCTGCCTGCACCGCCCGCCCGCTGGCTGCCTTGCTGTCCAGTGCAGCGGGATCCCTGCACCCCCTAAGGAGGGCAGAACCAAGGCCCTTCAGGGAGGAGCCAGGGGCCTGGCTGTGCATGTGGAGGCCTTTGGGTGGGGGAATTGGGGAAGTAGGGGGAAGGGAATGAGACAGTGGGGCTGGGCTTCAGGGATCTCAGACAGTGTAGAGCTCTGGACCCCATGGGGCTACCCCACCAACACTAAGCAAACACTAATTTTTTTTTTTTTTTTTTTTTTTGGAGACAGGATCTGGCCCTGTCATCCAGGCTGGAATGCAGGGATGAAGTCTTGGCTCACTGACCTGGGCCTCCTGGACTCAAGCCAGTCTCCTACCTCAGCCTCCCAAGTAGCTGGTGCTATGGGTGTGTACCACCACACCTGGCTAATTTTTCTGTGTTTTTGTAGAGCGGGGGTCTCACTCTGCTACCCAGGCTTGTTTGAAACTCCTGAACTCAAGGGATCTGCCCACCTTGGCCTCCCCCCACTTTTTTTAAGTCAAGGTCTTACCGTGTGGCTCTGGCGGGATTGCAGTGGCGCAAACAGCCTGTAGTCCCGGCTGCTTCGAAGGCTGACGTGGGAGCGCCTAAGCCTTCCGGTTCAGGCTGCAGTGAGCTATGATCACACCACTGTGCTTCAGCCTGGGTGACAGAACAAGACCCCATTTCAAAAACAGAAAACGTAATGGCAGGCTGGGTGTGGTTGCTCATGCATATAATCCCAGCACTGTGGGAGGCTGAGGCAAGGTCTCTTGAGCCCAGGAATTCGAGACCAGCCTAGACAATATGGTGAGACCCCCATCTGTACAGAAAGTTTAAAAATTACCTGGGCACACCTGTAGTCTCAGCTACGTGGGAGGCTGAGGTGGGAGGATTACTTGAGCCCAGAAGATCGAGGCCACAGGCAGCCGTCACTGTGCCATCGCAGTCCAGCCTGGGCTACAGAGCAAGACCCTGTCTCAGGAAAAAAAAAAAAAAAAAATCTTTGATATACTCAAATACACATTCAGTGCTCAAACTTCTGAAGGTGAATGCACTGCCGGGTGCATTTTGTGAAGAGTTGGTTTTGTTTGGACAGAGACCAGCAGGATCTCTGAGGTTTGTACATGGTACCCAGAGCCCAGATTGGAAATTCACAACCAGGGAGGGAGTGGGTAGGTTCTGGGGAAGACTGCTGCTTCTTAAGAAATCAGATGGTCCCAGCTACTCAGGAGGCTGAGGCAGGAGAATTGCCTGGACCCAGGAGGCCGAGGTTGCGGTGAGCTGAGATCGTGCCATTGCACTCCAGCCTGCGGAACAAGAGCGAAACTCCGTCTCAAAAAAAAAAAAAAAGAAAAAAAGAAATCAGATGGTTCAGAAAGGCCACTCTGGCCAGCAAATCCCAAAAACTGCCAACGCGGGGGCCACATTCTCAGAGCTGCTTTGATTGGAGCACTGGAGGATCAGCTGTCATGCCAGGGCACTGGGGCCACCCTGGAGGCTGGCATCACTCCCAGCCTCACCCTGCAGTCAGCCCCACTGGGACAGTACCAGTCAGGGGATGAAAGCGCCCAGTCTGGCTTGGCAGAGCAGGCCTGGCAGTGGGCTGCAGGGCAGGGGCAGAGGGCAGGGTGGGAGAGGAGGCCACTAGGCAGGGCTGCCCACCTACCCACCACAGGGCACAGCCCCTTGGAGGGAGGGTAAGTCAGAGGGGGTGTCAGTCCTGGGGTTTCACAGCCCTTACCCCGCAGGCCCTGCAGGCCACCTGGTCCCAAGGCAAGAAGCCAGTCAGTTTCACGCTTGGGCCCCAGGAATGATCTGGAGCCTGTTGAGTCAGCATTTTATCAGTCACCTGCATGCATTTTTTTTTTTCCTTTTGCATGAAGTCTCGCTCTGTCACCCAGGCTGGAGTGCAGTGGCAGTCTCAGCTCCCTGCAGCCTCCACTTTCTGGGTTCAAGCAATTTTCATGCCTCAGCCTCCTGAGTAGCTGGGACCACAGGTGCACGCCACCAAACCTGGCTAAATTTTGTATTTGTAGTAGAAACGAGGCTTCACCATGTTGGCCAGGCTGGTCTGAAACTCCTGACCTCAAATGATCCCCTTGCTTTGGCCTCCCAAAAGTGCTAGAATTACAGGTGTGAGCCACCGCACTGGGCTTCCATGCATTTTTTGTTTAAGTACATGGATTTTGTAATTTACAAAAAGTTACACAATAATCACTTAGTGTCGAGAAATTTCAACAAGGATGCCAAGACAATTCATTGGGGAAAGACTGTTGGCTGGGCACGGTGGCTCACAGCTGTAATCCCAGCACCTGGGGAGGCCAAGGCTAGTGGATCATGAGGTCAGGAGATCCAGACCATCCTGGCTAACATGATGAAACCCTGTCTCTACTAAAAATACAAAAAAATTGGCCAGGTGTCAGATGGCATGTGCCTATAGTCCCAGCTATGTGAGAGGCTGAGGCATGAGAATCGCTTGAACCTGGGAGGCAGAGGTTGTAGTGAGTTCAGATGGCGCCACTGCACTTCAGCCTGACAACGGAGTGAGACTCCATCTCAAAACAAAAGAAAAATGAAAAGTCTATTAGCCAGGCATGGTGGCTCATGCCTGTAATCCTAGCACTTTGGGAGGCTGAGGCAGGTGGATCACCTGAAGTCAGGAGTTCAAGACCAGTCTGGCCAAAATGGTAAAACACCATCTCTACTAAAAATACAAATATTAGGCTGGGCGCAGTGGCTCATGCCTGTAATCCCAGCACCTTGGAAGGCCGAGGCGGGTGGATCATGAGGTCAGGAGTTTGAGACCAGCCTGACCAACATGGTGAAACACCATTTCTACTAAAAATATAAAAATTAAGCCGGGCGCGGTGGCTCACACCTCTAATCCCAGCATTTTGGGAAGCCGAGGCGGGTGGATCATGAGGTCAAGAGATCGAGACCATCTGGTCAACATGGTGAAACCCCGTCTCTACTAAAAAAAAATACAAAAATTAGCTGGGCATGGTGGCGTGCGCCTGTAGTCCCAGCTACTCAGGAGGCTGACGCAGGAGAATTGCTTGAACCCAGGAGGCGGAGGTTGTGGTGAGCCGAGATCGCGCCATTGCACCCCAGCCTGGGTAACGAGCAAAATTCCGTCTCAAAAAAAAAAAAAAAAAAAATGAGCTGGGCGCGGTGGCTCACGCCTGTAATCCCAGCTACTCAGGAGGCTGAGGCAGGAGAATCGCGTGAACCTGGGAGGTGGAAGTTGCAGTGAGCCAAGATCACACCACCACACTCCAGCCTGGGCGACAGAGTGAGACTCCATCTCAAACACATACATACCCACACGCAGGCACGCCGGGTATGGAGGTGCACCCTGTAATCCCAGCTACTCAGGAGGCTGAGGCAGGAGAATCGCGTGAACCTGGGAGGTGGAAGTTGCAGTGAGCCAAGATCACACCACCACACTCCAGCCTGGGCGACAGAGTGAGACTCCATCTCAAACACATACATACCCACACGCAGGCACGCCGGGTATGGAGGTGCACCCTGTAATCCCAGCTATTCAGGAGGCTGAGGCCGGAGAATTAGTTGAACCCAGGAGGCAGAGGTTGCAGGGAACTGAGATTGCACCACAGCACTCCAGCCGTGGTGGTAAAACTCCATCTCAAAAGAAAGGCTGGGCGCAGTGGCTCATACCTGTAATCCCAGCACTTTGGGAACTGGGCATGGTGGCACATACTTGTAACCTCAGCTATTTAGGAGGCTGAGGCAGGAGCGCATGAACCCAGGAGGCGGAGGTTGCAGTGAGCTAAGATCACACAATTGCACTCCAGCCTGGTGACAGAGGGAGAGTCCATCTCAAAAATTAAAGTAAATAAATAAGAACAGTGCTTGGACCCCCAGTCTGTAGCAACCAATCCAGGAAGCCAAATGGCAGTTCCTGCAGCCGTTGGCCCAGACCTGGTTAATAAGTGCCCTAAGTTTTTCCCTTCCTCTTTCTCTTCCCCTTCTCTTCAATGTCCCTTCCCTTGCTTCCCTTCCCTTCCGTTTCCTTTCCCTTCTGTTCCCTTTCCCTTTCCTTCCCTTCCGTTTCCCTCATTTCCCTTCCCTTTCATTTCCCTTCTCTTCCATTTCCTTTCCATTCCCTTTCAGTTCCTTTCCCTTCCCTTCCCATTTCCCTTCCCTTCCCCTTCCCTTCATTTCCCTTCCTTCCCCTTCCATTTCCCTTCCCCTTCCATTTCCCTTCCCTTCCCATTTCCCTTCCCTTCATTTCCCTTCCTTCCCCTTCCATTTCCCTTCCCCTTCCATTTCCCTTCCCTTCCCCCATTTCCCTTCCCTTCATTTCCCTTCCTTCCCCTTCCATTTCCCTTCTCTTCCTTTCCGTTTTCCTTTGTTTCCCGTTTCAGTATTTTGCATGGGCACTGTTCTTTCACACATACCCGCCCTAAAACTAAGAAGAAAACAGGCAAATATTCATGACCTCAGATTTGGCAAAGGATTCTTGGATTTGACTCCAAAAGCAAGAACAACAAAATAAAAAACAGACAAATTGTGATTCTGTGAGGCCAGATGCAGTGGCTCCCACCTATAATCCCAGCATTTTGGGGGGATGAGGCAGATGGATTACCTAAGGTCAGGAGTTCAAGACCAGCCTGGCCAACATAGTGAAACTCTGTCTCTACTAAAAATACAAAAATGTTAGGTGTGGCGGAGCACACCTATAGTCCCAGCTACTTGGGAGGCTGAGGCAGGAGAATCGCTTGAACACGGGAGGCAAAGGTTGCAGTGAACCAAGATTGCACCACTGCACTTCAGCCTGGGCAACAAGAGCAAAACTCTGTCTGAAAAAAACAAAACAAAAACAAAAAAAAACAGCTCTGCTTCAAAGGACACTATGACACTCCCAGGAAAGTGGGAGACAGCACACATAACAGGAAGAAATGTCTGTAAATCATATCAGATAAGGGACTGCAATCTACAATATGTAAGAAGACTCTTACAACAAGAAAGAATTTTCTTAATGGCACAAGATGGCCAATAAACACATGAAAAACCACTCAACATTATCAGTTATTAAGGAAATGCAAATCAGAACCACCATGAGATGCCACACCATCCACTAGGCTGGCTAAAATCAAAAGGACAGGGCTGGGCGGAGGGGCTCACACCTGACATGCCAGCACTTTAGGAGGCTCAGGCAGGAGGATCACCTGAGGTCAGGAGTTCAAGACCAGCCTGATCAACATGGAGAAACCCCATCTCTACTAAAAATACAAAATTAGCCGGGTGTGGTGGCGCATACCATAATCCCAGCTACTCAGGAGGCTAAGGCAGGAGAATCGCTTGAACCCGGGAGGTGGAGGTTGCAGTGAGCTGAAATCGCACAACTGCACTCCAACCTGGGTGACAGAGCAAGACTCTGTATCAAAAAAATAAAAGAAAAAGATATCAAATGGATGGAAATTGACAAATGGTGAGGATGTGGAGAAATCAGAACCGTCAAGCGCTGCTGGGAATGGAAGGTGGTGGGGCCGCTGTGGAAGAGTCTGGCAGTTCTTCAAAGTGTTAAATGGAGTGACCATCAGACCCAGTAATTCCATGCCTCTATACATACCCAAGAGGAAAGAAAACGTGTATTTATAGAAACCTGTACACAAATGGAGATGAGCATGGTGGTGTGTCCCAACCACCCAGGAGACTGAAGTGGGAGGATTGCTTGAGCCAGCCTGCACACGTTAGTGAGACTCCATCACTCCATCTCTACAAAAGTTGGTGGTTTCAGCCGGGCGCAGTGGCTCACGCCTGTAATCCCAGCACTTTGGGAGGCCGAGGCGGGTGGATCACGAGGTCAAGAGATCGAGACCATCCTGGTCAACATGGTGAAACCCCGTCTCTACTAAAACTACAAAAAATTAGCTGGGCATGGTGGCACGTGCCTGTAATCCCAGCTACTCAGGAGGCTGAGGCAGGAGAATTGCCTGAAC